TTGATTAAGTACTCGAGTCGCTTGAAAAAGTATGCTAACTGCCGTAAATACCACATAATGTAACTCTAGTGATGGTTAAAATACATATTTAAGAAAAACGACGTCTACAATATCACCGAAAGTAGAATCACAGTTATCACGACAAGAGTCCAGCGGGTGAGCGAGTTCATTCGTCAAATATGAATTAACCGACAGCCGATTAATGAGTCACGCGCAGCAGACCACAAAACTGACGGGAGCAGCCTCGGAGGAAGACTACTACTGATGGGACATAAAACCTAAAACCTTAAGATGACAGCTCATATTGTATATCCAACTCTGTGAGTTACCAAAATCACACAAACGCTCAACAGACACGAGACACGGTGAAGCTACAGACATATGGTTCCGTTCACTCAGCGGGGCTCGACGAAAGTTCGGTTGTGTGAGTTCGGTTATAGAATGCGGTTTTTACTATCGTAAATAACAGACAATAACAGTATAATGTAGGCCTACTTGAATACAGAAATGCAACCGTTTTCTGCTGCTGTGTGAACGTGGCCTAGTAGGTTAGTTCAGATAATTTGGACTTGGTTTGTTTGAGTTCAAATTGAGACCTCTGACTTTTGATGGCAGACTGGGTCTTGGCAACTCTGTATTCAGTTTGAGACATTTGTTGAGAGACACGTGCAGAAGCGGACAAAGTACACAACTCCATTACTTAAAGGGGTCATATGATGCTTTTTTTAAAGATCATTATTTTGTGTATTTGGTGTAACAGAATATGTTGACATGCTTTAATGTTCAAAAAACACATTATTTTTCACATACTGTACATTATTGTAGGTCCTCTATGCCCCGCCTCTCTCAAACTTCGTTTTCTACAAAGTCCCTCCTTCCGACAAGCGCAGTCTGCTCTGATTGGCCAGCTGACCCAGTGCATTGTGATTGGCCGAACACCGCAAGCACTCGTCGGAAATGTAACTCCCCTTACCATAATCGCGAGCTTCAGCTTTCAAAATAAATGTAAAGACAGTAAATAATGTCATTAGTTTTACCATCAGTTCAAGCCTGAAAGGGGAACAGACACAGTAATGATGCAGTACCCAAGCCGCGGTTAAGACAGCTGACTCCACTGTCTCTCTCTCTCTCTCACACACACACACACACACACACGATGCGCAAAACTCCGCATTTGAACAGTCAATAGCAAATACTTAAACTAATAACAAAACAGTAGCTGATTCAGAAGCGCCAGATTGTCATAGCAAAGTCAGAATGACCTCCTCTCCTAGGTTCACGAAACGGTCGTCCATAAAATGCATTGCTGTTCTGTTGTAAGTAATCTTAAAGATTCCTAAATGCAT